CGGCACTTACAATCGAAGAGGTCAATTATTGCATAAAAATATCAGTAAGTGTATGGATCTACTGTTCAATGTTATGATGTTAACGTGTTCACGTTAAAAAAAGGCATTATATTACATATTTGTTAAAAGCAGCATTAGTTACATTTTGCATGCAGTCCACAAGAATAACCTATATTTACTTTGTATCTTGACAATGAAGTAGTTACTTTTACAATTTTTGTATTGGGATAGAAAAGTTTTAAACAGGTGCTTTTTAAGTACACCGATTCATTGTACACAGAAGGCCCACAGTAACATCAGACTAGTTTATTCTTATGAAAATTCACGTGCAAACATTGCACCCAGTAAAACAGTACCAAGCCATACAGCATACATGAGCGGAATGGCTCTTCAGAGAACAACATGTGGCTACAGTGGAATGCCTTGGAGTAATTCAAGACATCACAATGTTGCATTGAACATATTTTGGTTCAGCCTTGGACTGTGTATGCACAGAGAGGCCTCTAAGGGGTCTGCAATGATAAGTATAACAAAAAAAGGCTACCCACAAATGCAACAATAAGATTGTACAAAATATGCATAAAATATGAGACATACAGAAGCTGTTTAGTACTGAAGCATTGGCAACAAAGTTGAATTGCACATTGGCACAGCACGAAACCTACAAAAAGAGCAACATGGAAAAGGCAGAAGACACAGCATTCAGTTTTGAGGTTATATTTACAGTTCGTGGCAATGCATTCAACCTGAGGGCAACATACAGAACTTTAGTTCATGTGCAACAATGTTAATGGACACTCCACAATCAATGTTATGTTGGGTTCTGTTGACTAGTTTTTTAGTCGATGGAATCTTCAAAACAAGCACATTTTTTGTTTACTTTTTAGTACACAAGTGAACAAGAAGAAAAGTGATATGAATACGCAGCTTTCTGTCCTCGTTGGTTAATGCAACACTTCATTAGCCTGCATTTCTTGCTTAGTTTTCTATGAAATGAGAGCACGGGTTACTTGAGCGTGTATGTGCACGTAACACAATTGTCATGACACAATCTGCCATGTTTGTCTTCTAAATTTTTTAAACATGCTTCACTTCCCCTAGAAGCAATTTTTTGCATTAGCTATTTAACAAAGCAAGGAACTCATTTCAGCTTTGTAATTTGTTGTCAGTCAGTGCTAGTGATGCACATAAATGTCCGTTGCTTGTCATGTGGCAGCAGCAACACTATAAAAAAATGAATAGGTGTTTGCTGCAATGCAAAAATGCACAGTAACCACATGTTTTTGCATGAAACTGCGTAGAAAGATGGGCACAAAATGAAGGCGATAACACAGGACGACGCGCTTATGACTGAAGTGTGTCGCCTCGCGTTTATCACTTCTCTTTTGTGACCATCTGTCTATGCATTTTCGTGCAATGAATTCGAACCCTACTTTCAATCAAACCGTGTGTTACATAAGAAATGAGTGGTTTACTATGAAATTAGAAGTCTTAAACATAAGGGATGAGTTTATTTCAGGGATTTATTTTTTACAGCAGGTACCCTTGGCAAGTGGCAAGGTGCACGGCACCTCGAAAGTTATACTATTTAACCCATAGAGTGCCAAGCCCATGCCATATCACTCCAGACTAGTGACGTTCATGTCAGAAAATACAAGTTTCTTCATTGAAGTGCCAGTTTTTTGCACTGCATGCATTAAATGATTCATGCTACTCAATGTGTTCAGAAAGGACACATTCTCGTGATTACACGAAACAATTTCAAATTCACATATTTTTCAATCACTATTATGTACAAAAGCATTTAGCGATTACACCAGCATTCAACAAAAGCCCCTCTTACTGAGCAGTGTATCATATATGCTTTTTCAGAAGTGAAAATAATATGTAAGCTCACTTTGTAAAAAAACAATTGTGCAAGCAAAAATTCGTTTCTAAGTTAAAAGTCAATGGCTAGAAAATAAAGTGTACAAAAATAGCATTTGCACTTGAAGGCAGACATACTCACACCTTGCCTAAAATACTGCCCTTTTATTTTGCACAAAGTTTACATAATTTAAGGCTTGTTAAGGCCTGGCCTTTGTTTTTTCTGGGGAAGTCAATTACTTCTAATGAATATTCAGCTAGATCAAAAAGTTATATAAGAAGCTTCTATCAATTTATTGCTTCCAGTCTGCATAGATAAAACAAATGATAGGCTATCACCATCATCATCAACCCAACTATACCCACAGCAGAGCAAAAGCCTCTCCAATGTTCTGCCCATCAACGTGATGCTGTCCTCCCTGCTGCCACGTTATACCCGCAGACTTCTTAATCTGCTATACTGAATTTAACCGTTACAAAAATGAGCCACCTGCTTTTACAGAAGACTTTGTGCAAACAGAAATCTTTCAAATGGAAACTGCTGGTTCAATGAAACCAGTGGTTGTGACAAAATTGGTTTCAGACATGTATTCTACACCTACATTTGACTTCTTTATGCAATGGCATCTTCTGTATACTATAGCCATTTTGTGTACACTCATACCTTGATATAACAAACCTAAATACAATGAAACATCAGTTATAATGAAGTGAATGAAGAATAATGTTGCAATAGATGTAGTGCTAGGCAAGTATCGTTATAATGAATTTATATGCATTGTTCGCAATGGTGGTACAAAGATCTTCAGGTGTTTCAGCACGGCAGAGGCTTGTTCACTATCACTTGCGAGACGTTGTAAAGAGCTAAAGTATGTGCTTTAAAGGGTGTCACTTTGCTTGTATTTTGCGGAAGTTCGACTACTGCCTTCAGCCCCGCACCTTGGATTTACAGCGCGTGCTTGTCCATGCTCATATGCTTGCATCTTAAGGATGGTTCAACAGGCGGCTCATACCTTGGCAAATGCCATGCTCTTTTCAAAGGAAGGAAATCGGCTGTAGTGTAGGCACGCACAAAAACTTAAATTTTCATAAGACGTTGTTTACGGCATCCCCCACTCTTGCAATAGACAGTGTACAGGCCAAACCAAAAGTGTATTAATAAGACTAACAAAGCATCATTATGATGCATCAGTGTTAACTCACCCCAATCATTTGGCTTTCCACTGCGCGGAATGTACGTGCATGGACGTGTTTTCTTACACAAAAGTTTTGGTGCGATCTTTAGACGAGACAGAAAGAGAAATTACGGAAGCACAGTACACGTGTATCGGTGAATGGTGCATTAACAGTGCCTCAATCATCTTCTCTCAAAAAGAAATCGGCTTTTTCAAGCAAACCGTATCACCGCATTGAAATTCTATAAAAGTTTCAACGACATTGTTTGATTCCCTGATTTGTTTTCTTTTTCTTATTTTTGTTCTAATCTATTTTATCACTGAATCTCCCCCCCCCCCTCATTTTCATGTTCCTTTCTTTTTTGTACATAAGACTGTCCATGATTGAAATAGAGTACTTGTTTGCGCATCCCCTTGTGTTGTTTCTAGTTATGTCTGGTACGTGTGTTACCTTGCAGCGCATCGCAAGCATGATGACGCACTAACTAGCCACTATCGCCACCTTGTTAACTCTCTTTGCGATATTTGCACTGAAGCCATAGACTGCATGAAGATCACTTCCCGTGCTTCAGCGGCCGTGTTTGCTAAGGGTGTGAGCTTTCTAGCCTTTTTTTTCATAAAACATTCCAATTTGTTTTTGCTATGACATTTATTGCTTCACCCTTGCGACAAAACTGCGCCTTTTATTTTTCTGATGCTCATAACAAAAAGAGTTCATGATTAACTTGGTACATCTATGTTTTGTTATATTATGGTTTGACCACTATTCAGCAAAAGTAAATGCAAAAAGCAATACTAAAACAAAGCATTTCGAAAAACCCGAGAGGCCCCTTGAGAAAAAGAGTGCCTAAGATTCGGAAAGCTAAATAATGGGAGCATGTCGTATCACAATAAGCATGTAATGAAAAAATGCCCACTTCTTTCATCAAGTAAGTGTGATGTGCAAGTCAATAGAGCAATCAAGTTTTATGAAGCAATGCACGAAAAGCTAAAACTCTCACAAGTGTTGCAATATAGAAAGCTTGACAGTAGTGTTCAATGCTGTATATATTACAGCAAAAGCTCGTTAACCCGGATCTCATGGGAGCAATGAAAATGTCCGAGTTAACTGGAATCCGGATTATCGAATGAACCATCAAAACAAAAGGTAAATGTAATCGGCACAGAAAAACCTTCATTTCATGAAAAACTGAGGCGTCTTAGTCTGCCTTGTCATCAAAATTAGTGCTAGAACGATCTTCTTCAATACCATGTGGTGGTGGCGTGCACGCTCGCTCTAGCGAGAACTGATGCAAACTCCGCGGACAGCGAAGGCTTCGGCGGCCTCCTGCACGCTGCGATGTCGCGTCGGCTAATCCTGAATGTCATCATCGAAATAGTGATTCTGATCCTCTTCAAGCACTTCTAGGGAGATTTAAAATAATGTTCGCAGGTGTCGCAGGCAATGCTTTAGTTACGGGCGCCATATGAGCTTTAGAATAGCGCTTGCTCTCCCTAGGGAAAAGTCTAGAAATTTTAGCTTCGAACGCAACCCCAAATGCGAAGAAGCTACACACAGCACTTCCCGGGCCTCGCGGACCACGACTGCCGCACCCTATTTCGGATTTTCTGCAGGCGGGCCGCGAACGCAAACGGCGGCTTGCGTTACAACGTATGCGCAGTGGCAGCGACCGCACCGCAAGGGCTCGCAGTGCGTTATTCATCAGTCAGCAAACCAGCAATGGCCCCACCATCATCAACGCGCACTAACACAGCCCGAAAACGTAACGACGATTATATGTCATAGCGCCAACTCATCCAACAGTCAACTCTCTTGATGTACCCGAGCTGCACACGCTATGCACGAAAACACAATGCAAAGAAATCAGCAGCGTAGGCGTCGCAGGCAACTGGGGTAGCGGCGGCTATGCACTGTCTCATCGTCCGAGCATGCGGTGCCATGTGTGGTGCATTTTGCAGGCACTGGATGCACCGGCAGCCAAAGTGCTTCCGCCAGGTGGTGACTAGAGCCACCTGGCCACTTCCCCCCTCATTCACTATAATTATGATCATATTCTGCTGCAGTTCGTTCGATTTCAGTTTCTCCAAAACTTCGGTTCCGCCCGGCGGAGCCGGGACTCCACGCTTTCAGTAACCGGAATCAGTTACTGAAAGCATGAAGCGCCAATAGCCCTCTCTAGAATCGTTGGAATTAACCGATGCGCGTCTAAATACCTCTGAATGAACAAGCATTTAACACCATTAAAATATACATAGTTCTGCCGGGACTGCGCCGTGTGTACGAGTTTACCGAATTCCCGAGTTGACAAGATCTGGATAAACGAGCTTTTACTTAGAAGTTGCAGTTGAACGGATTCTACATGTATACGTGTGCTTTGATGACACAATTATAAAATAAAAGGTTCTTCCTGGCACATTGTATGTACTTACTATAATAATGCTGATTTTTTCTGTAATCCTTGAATACTTTGAATCAACACCACACCATTTAGCACATACATCACCTCAAGCAAATATGACTAGACACAGAAAAATACCTATGTACATCTCATCAGCTTTGCGTGACATTCTCATGAGATGGAAACCAGAAGGCCAAGAATATATCCTAAAAGCTAATCAATTTCTTTAAACATTTCCACAAGACCCATATATTCACAATAAACAAAGTAATTTAAAAATGTGTAAGGGCCAACATATGGTTAACCTGGCAGATGCTTAAGGGGGACATGGTTCTTAGGGCTCTCTCATTTAGTTTTGAACCAAATGTGACAAAAGTTGGCATGCTTACTTAGTTTGTTCTCCGGATTCTAAAAATGTGGTTATTTTTTCTGTAGCTTCATTAGTTAATTAAATAATCAAGATAACAATTTCTGTTCTTCATACCATGATAGCAGGATAACCACCTGTCAAAAATTTATAAATAACATAGGGATTGACAGTAAAAAGCATAAGACATGCAACATAAGAAGCACTTTTTTGAATGGGTCATTATTTCTTACTTTACAGTACCGTATTTACTCGATTCTACCGCGCCCTCGATTGTAACGCGCACCCGATTTCCACCGCGAAAAAAAAAAAAAAAACGTAAGACATCGATTGCAACGCGCACCCATTTTTTTTTTTTTTTTTTTGCTGGCCCGCACGATCACACCACTCGAAAAAACGATTCCTTTCGGGATTGTCTTCCATTTAAATATGAGGTACGGGCGAAGCTTGTGCCCATCTGACGTGTAACAGAGCATTGCCGTCACTGTAGTTTTACCGTGGACCGATGTCAGCACGCGAACTTGCTTCGCCCCCTTCTTCTCAACCCGAGAGGCCCCTTGAGAAAAAGAGTGCCTAAGATTCGGAAAGCTAAATAATGGGAGCATGTCGTATCACAATAAGCATGTAATGAAAAAATGCCCACTTCTTTCATCAAGTAAGTGTGATGTGCAAGTCAATAGAGCAATCAAGTTTTATGAAGCAATGCACGAAAAGCTAAAACTCTCACAAGTGTTGCAATATAGAAAGCTTGACAGTAGTGTTCAATGCTGTATATATTACAGCAAAAGCTCGTTAACCCGGATCTCATGGGAGCAATGAAAATGTCCGAGTTAACTGGAATCCGGATTATCGAATGAACCATCAAAACAAAAGGTAAATGTAATCGGCACAGAAAAACCTTCATTTCATGAAAAACTGAGGCGTCTTAGTCTGCCTTGTCATCAAAATTAGTGCTAGAACGATCTTCTTCAATACCATGTGGTGGTGGCGTGCACGCTCGCTCTAGCGAGAACTGATGCAAAACTCCGCGGACAGCGAAGGCTTCGGCGGCCTCCTGCACGCTGCGATGTCGCGTCGGCTAATCCTGAATGTCATCATCGAAATAGTGATTCTGATCCTCTTCAAGCACTTCTAGGGAGATTTAAAATAATGTTCGCAGGTGTCGCAGGCAATGCTTTAGTTACGGGCGCCATATGAGCTTTAGAATAGCGCTTGCTCTCCCTAGGGAAAAGTCTAGAAATTTTAGCTTCGAACGCAACCCCAAATGCGAAGAAGCTACACACAGCACTTCCCGGGCCTCGCGGACCACGACTGCCGCACCCTATTTCGGATTTTCTGCAGGCGGGCCGCGAACGCAAACGGCGGCTTGCGTTACAACGTATGCGCAGTGGCAGCGACCGCACCGCAAGGGCTCGCAGTGCGTTATTCATCAGTCAGCAAACCAGCAATGGCCCCACCATCATCAACGCGCACTAACACAGCCCGAAAACGTAACGACGATTATATGTCATAGCGCCAACTCATCCAACAGTCAACTCTCTTGATGTACCCGAGCTGCACACGCTATGCACGAAAACACAATGCAAAGAAATCAGCAGCGTAGGCGTCGCAGGCAACTGGGGTAGCGGCGGCTATGCACTGTCTCATCGTCCGAGCATGCGGTGCCATGTGTGGTGCATTTTGCAGGCACTGGATGCACCGGCAGCCAAAGTGCTTCCGCCAGGTGGTGACTAGAGCCACCTGGCCACTTCCCCCCTCATTCACTATAATTATGATCATATTCTGCTGCAGTTCGTTCGATTTCAGTTTCTCCAAAACTTCGGTTCCGCCCGGCGGAGCCGGGACTCCACGCTTTCAGTAACCGGAATCAGTTACTGAAAGCATGAAGCGCCAATAGCCCTCTCTAGAATCGTTGGAATTAACCGATGCGCGTCTAAATACCTCTGAATGAACAAGCATTTAACACCATTAAAATATACATAGTTCTGCCGGGACTGCGCCGTGTGTACGAGTTTACCGAATTCCCGAGTTGACAAGATCTGGATAAACGAGCTTTTACTTAGAAGTTGCAGTTGAACGGATTCTACATGTATACGTGTGCTTTGATGACACAATTATAAAATAAAAGGTTCTTCCTGGCACATTGTATGTACTTACTATAATAATGCTGATTTTTTCTGTAATCCTTGAATACTTTGAATCAACACCACACCATTTAGCACATACATCACCTCAAGCAAATATGACTAGACACAGAAAAATACCTATGTACATCTCATCAGCTTTGCGTGACATTCTCATGAGATGGAAACCAGAAGGCCAAGAATATATCCTAAAAGCTAATCAATTTCTTTAAACATTTCCACAAGACCCATATATTCACAATAAACAAAGTAATTTAAAAATGTGTAAGGGCCAACATATGGTTAACCTGGCAGATGCTTAAGGGGGGACATGGTTCTTAGGGCTCTCTCATTTAGTTTTGAACCAAATGTGACAAAAGTTGGCATGCTTACTTAGTTTGTTCTCCGGATTCTAAAAATGTGGTTATTTTTTATGTAGCTTCATTAGTTAATTAAATAATCAAGATAACAATTTCTGTTCTTCATACCATGATAGCAGGATAACCACCTGTCAAAAATTTATAAATAACATAGGGATTGACAGTAAAAAGCATAAGACATGCAACATAAGAAGCACTTTTTTGAATGGGTCATTATTTCTTACTTTACAGTACCGTATTTACTCGATTCTACCGCGCCCTCGATTGTAACGCGCACCCGATTTCCACCGCGAAAAAAAAAAAAAAACGTAAGACATCGATTGCAACGCGCACCCATTTTTTTTTTTTTTTTTTTTGCTGGCCCGCACGATCACACCACTCGAAAAAACGATTCCTTTCGGGATTGTCTTCCATTTAAATATGAGGTACGGGCGAAGCTTGTGCCCATCTGACGTGTAACAGAGCATTGCCGTCACTGTAGTTTTACCGTGGACCGATGTCAGCACGCGAACTTGCTTCGCCCCCTTCTTCTCGACAGTTGTGGTGCCAGGCATGTCGAAGTAAAGAGGCGTCTGATCGGCATTCCAGATTTGCCCAAGCAGGTAGCCGTTGTTGCGCCGCAAGTTTAGAACTAACCTCTGAAAACTGTAAAGCTTTTCATCGTACTTCTCCGCAAAAGTTTTCGCATATGCATGTTCCCCTTCGGAGGGAAGAGCCTTTCCTCTTCATATAGTTAATTAGCCAGCACCTGCTCGCTTTAAACTGGCTCCGCATTAGACTTTTTTCTAAGACTATTTGCATAGCCCGCACTTGGAGCAGTTCTGTCGTCATGGGCCGCTGTGCCACTCGCTCCTCAAGCACATACTCGCGAAGCAGCTCTCCAATTTGCGGAAACCGACCCTGCTGTGGTTCACTGAAGCCTTTGCGTGAAGCTTTGCTGTCGACAATCTTCTGCTTTTGTTTCCGCCGGTCCCGCACGCACGTTTCGGGAACGACCGCGATGCGGCCCGATTTCCGTCCGTTTCTGCACACGCGATGACTTTTCTTTTAAAAGCGGCATCGTGGTGCACTCGAGTTTTTGGAGTCGGCCCTTCCACGTCGTCGATGCTAATGCACTACTAGATGACGAACTCCTCAGCACACGTACGAAGTGCCGCACATGGTAAACACATAGGCAGAAATAGCCGACGCACCATGCCGACGCACGTAGGGGGCGGCCATTTTGGATTTGCGATGGCAATAGATTGACCGTAATTTTTTTGTTCGTACTCGATTCTAACGCGCATGCGATTTATGAACTCGCTTAACCGGAAAAAAGATGCGCGTTAGATTCGAGTAATTACGGTACACTAAACTTCACAGCCCTGAATGTGGCCATTGTGTGGTCACACAAAAGACTAGTTTGAAAAACTTGCATCAAGAGAAATCAAAATCTGCTTCCTATGTTGTGTGCTCCAAACATATAGCTTCATGCTGCAAAATAAAATATTCTGCTATCTGTAATAGCTTCAGATATATTGCAGTAATTTTCATGCAGGGTGTACGAAATCGCCATTTTGAGAAAATGAAGAAAACAAAAATTTCTAACACTTTTAACTGTAAAAATGTACGCACTTATCAGGCCGCTTATCAGTTTGGTGACTGCACTGACGGCGATGTGCGACAAATATGCGTGCGTCATCCACGATCCGTCGAATAACGCGGCAATGTCTTCCGGCTTGTCTACAATAAGTTACCCGTAAGTGTCGCGAACCAAAGTTGCTCCCTCGCTTATTGATTTTGAGGCTACACGAGTGCCGAGGTGTTAGCTTCCTTTTGACGTAAGACTGCTGCATTTTCGAGCGGAGATTGCGACAACAGTGCGAACACGTCGTTAAATGCAGTCTACCTGTTGCCAGTAGCCTCCCTTGCGGGGGCCGCGAGCATGTTCACTGCAAACGGATTGGCTTTCTGTTGTTGGTCAACGCGCGGTGTACTTCACTCTGACGACCCGTCGCGCAGTTCAAGGTTCTTTCGTCAGGCGAGGGGGAACCCCAACATCGGCGGGTTTAGGAATAAGACTGCACTTCCGTTCCGTCACTACAAAGATTGATATCTCTGGTAGCTTCACTTCTGCTTTTTACTTGCCGTCCTCTAACTGATGAGGCTGCAAAACACAGCTGTTCTCAGTAACGATGTCGGCAACCAACGGGCTCGTACGTGAGTTAGGCCTACACCGGTGGCTCGGCGACCGCCGTTGACCGCATCGAGTTCGTTATCCTCGTTGTCCTGAGCCATAGCTGGGATCTTTTTGAAGTTCACAGCGAACGAACGACCACCACACCCGCTTCACAAATTACCGTAGCACGGAACTTCTTTACTGCCGTAAGCAGTCAGTAGCACCATGACAAAATGGTGCATGTCCGTGCGAGTCACGATGATGAAGCAGACGCCGAAAGCGCCCCTTGGCCAATTGGATGCCTAAATTTGGTCACATGCCCCAAGTAGCCAATTGAATCGCACGCTAGTGCTTCTCGATGACGCGTTTTTGCTAAAAAAAGAATGAGCAAGGTGAGCAGGCGGTGACGGGAAATTGAATATGAAGAACGACCCTTCCAAACAAGACCAAGATGAACACGATAGCTCGTGTGTAACGGCAACAGTTTGGTGCGGAAAAAGCGCCATTTTAGCGTCAATTTGCGCTCTCATTCATCTCACAGGGATGTTATAAATTGATTTTGTGCCAGAAATAATGACGCGAGAAGCTAGAAACTTCTCAGATAAGTGCTAAAATAGGTGCAGATTTCGAAAACGTCAGCTTCAAACAGTCGATTTTTTTGCGATTTTTGGCCTTCTAAGACCCGTGTCCCCCCTTAACTGCAGCTGGAATTACTCGGCATAAGAACCCAAAGCAGGAGGGTAGGCCTGTGTGGCTGTGGAATGCATCAGACACCACTGCACCAGTTGAGAATTTGTTGCAGTGGCAAAAATTTATAAAAACACCTCTTCAGGCACCTGTTTGAAAGTCCTGACTAGGCAGCACAGAAGGCTGCAAGAAAAAAAATGACTAGCCACTTGAGCTTCATGGTGCTCCGGTCAGTTGGGCCAAGATGGTGGCTTCCGGACACCTGCAATATTTCAAACATGAAATTCTTTGATGTCACAACAATTGTCATCAAATGCCACACACCCTATGCCAAGAGCAGTCATACGAGTCAGTGATATAAGCTCACAGGACATTTTGCTTACGAAATAAGAAACATGCAAAACTGCATGCAGGTATGTTTGCACACACTCAGCTACAGTCGATCCCGGACATATCAAACTCAGATATATCAAATTATTGCCTATATCAAGCAGTTGAGAAATTTTCTTGAATTTCCCACACAAAAGTATGGGACCGGTGTACTTGTATTTCGAACTACTGCACACCAGGACATTCAATATATTGAACGCTGCGTCGCGCCGAAGCCCAGAAGAGCATTTTTCCTTGCACATAATGATCAATTTTCGGCCGCGTTCTAAAAAGTTCTGATCCCTTTTTGCATGCAGGTGACAAAAAGGCGGTGTCATTCTATCGCGCTGACCTAATTCGTGAGCGGCGCTTGCGAGTGCATTAGTACGATTGATGCGCGATCTGCAAGTCCTAACGATCGGGCATAGTGTTTTCCAAAAGACCGATTGCTGGGGACACCAAAATTACCTAGAATGGGAAGTGACTCGGCGATCTCGTTGCAATGTTCACATTCTGTTCCTTGTTTGTTGGTGCACAATAGCATGCGAGTCTGGAAAGCATGGTGTTCGAGATGTGCGACCTCGTGTGGTACTTTTAGCATTTTCGGTTCTAAAACGCCTGTCTCAGGAGGCTATGCTTTTTCTAGCTTTTTGCATCAACGCAGATGAAAGCAGGGGCTTCCAGCTACAGAGCCACAAGTGACATCGATATCGCCAGCATGTCGATGGTGGGAACACAGTGTCATGGCTCGGCATTATTTTCAGCCTTATAGGCTTGTGCACCCCTCACCTCGTTCCTGATAAATCGTCATTCAGGAGTTCAACAGAACGTTGAGCCGCCAATAGCAATAAAAGTTATGTCTGGTGCTAAGAGCGACGTCAAGTAAAGCACCGTCGTAAACTTTCCTTGCAGGCCAGGTGACGACTTCAGGTGCGTCATGACAGCTGACAACGACGTGCAGTGCCTGAGTGAATTCTGTGACCTATCACCGTTTCCGGGCACCATTTCAGACAGTGAGCAACTTCTTTGGTGCAGATGACGACGTAGCTATTTCTGACTGTATCAACGCGAAGATCATGGCTGCCGCTGCTGGTGCCACGGAAGTGTACCCGTGTAGTTATGAATACGCTAATTGCTTCGCTGCCGCCGCTAACCAACCTCTTGCTGTGCTACAAAGCTTGCATCAGCCTTCTGCATCAATCAACACCGTTGTGGCCGAAGGAGCTGAATTCGCTTATTTGAAAAGCTTCAATGATATCGAGAATGATTGGAACTTGACGCTGCGCAACAAGCAAGACAAGTTTACGGACTATTTCTATGCATAATGAAGTGCGGCAACTTGCAGTTCACACCTTGTTCTTCATTGAACTGCGAGCCAATCAATATCTTGGCACTTGTAACAATTTCAGATGCCCGAAATGCTTTAACTTAGGCCTTAAATATGTATATGTTGTATTTCAAACTATCGATATATTCGGGATTGACAGTAGTTGAAGTGCTAAGAGGCTCTACATAAAGCTGTATTCCAGCGCATGATTTAAAATGAGAAGATAATTACATTCAGTCAACCTTCTAAAAAAATCTGAGTCATTCGGCTATGAAAGGGGGTGATCAGTAGAGCTGACAAGAGCACTCCCATCTCTGCTTTCATTGGCATTCTTCAAAAGTGTGCTGCTCCTAGGGCATTTCACCCACACATGTGACATCATGTTATGTGATGTCCATATGACGTGATAACGGCACATATCTTGGCTATCTGTTATGCCATCTATGATCATGCGACTTTATGCATCATTCGTGTTGACACCAATGCAACTATGCTAATAGTTGCTTTTCATGTCTCATAAAGCTTTTCTTTTAAAGAGACCCTGAAACAGTCTTCATGGTTTTAAGCTTTCTGAGTCAAATATGTAATTTATTACAAAATTTCGAACATGCAAATCGGTACAGATCCCAGTGGCTCAACCGAACAAGCTTTGAATTTCCCACCCCCTTTATATGTATCATTGCTCGATGTTACATATTAACAGACTGGATCGAATATGTCCAATCTACGTCCCTGAGTCTTTCAGGCAGTAAGTGTCATGTGCATGTGGTACAACATAGTCCATGTTTACATGACCTGCGCGACATCGTTTATATCGATATTTCTTTTCTCGGACACCATTAAAGCTGCCAGCTCCTATGTGTGTCACAAATCTAGTTACTGGTGACATATTCCTGCAGCATCATGAAAGGGATTCGAGACAAACGGCGAGCAGAATTGCTACAGTTTGTTGGTGATGTGTCCACTGGACTTTCGCTATCCGATCAATGCCAGGATCCACGAGTCTGCGGCTGTAACTTCAACCCTAATGACTGAATCCAGAAAATTACGCTTATCGTCGATTGTTCTCAAATAGTTTTTGTTTGCACGCACGCTTTTGCAGATCGTTGCCATACAGAAAAATAAAAGAACAGCCAATAGCGTGGTGGCACCTGTGGAGCAGGTCTGGACCACTCCGTACGCTTCGTCTTCTTTGCATTACGGTGCACTACTAGGCACACTCGACAGAGTGTGCTGACGCTGCTAGCAACAGCTGGATTTTCTATGAATTGAGGGGGCAAAGCAGTGATAAAAAGGAGAGTATAAATATTATGACGTCTCGGATATAACAATGTTATTTGCTTGAGAACTCTGGAGCAAACAGACGCCACGGACACGATGAAAAAGTGCACACATTTGAAGTCAGTGATGACGATATCAAAAAAGGTTTGTTTGTTTGTTTGTTTGTTGCCTAAGAGATCCTGACAATTACAATAATGCATAAATGAGGAAGAAGTGCAGAATAGATGCCTAGAATATATACGCACTTCCTAGAAATTAGAAATCTCTGAAACGAAGGTGCTATTCATGTATAACTGCCTGTGATATGTACTTGCATTCTCAGCCTTCTTCCTCTATTCATCCACCTCTCAGTAAATCGAGTTCCTCTTAAAGAAAACATTTTCCTGGTCTTCTCAGGTTCAATTTAATGAGAATCCACTTGCATTGCCCCTAGCTGCCTTGGTACACGGCACGTCGGTTAACTTGCGATGTGAATGATTTGATGACGGTGTAGCCTAGACGCTGTCATAACTACCAAAAACTGTTTCAGATACCTTTTAATAAATGGTTACCGATCGTCCTGATTTGTAACTTTTTTTTAGCTAGCACATATGCTAAAAAAAAGCGCTAGAACAGGACAAAGACGCTAGAACATTGCCAGAACAAGACACCTTCGCCCTGTGCTGCAACGCTTATTCATTCAAAATTGGAATGCACCAACCATCCCAATTCAGGACGCTCATGATAAAAAGCCCACCATGGCCCCCCGACAGGTTGGGACTGGAGCAGCTCCAACTAGTCGTTGAGAACCAGGGACTTCTCAACAGCAGCAGCGACCAATGTCGTCGAGCTGGCTGCGGCACTGGCACCATTGTCATCGGCTGTGGATGGCCCCGGTCCGGCCGAAAGCAGTTCATCGTCCTCTTCCTCTTCTTCTTCTTCGTCCTGGTAGGGGCTGACGGATGGGTCCGGGTAGTGGAACGTCGAGCGCGACAGGTCCACCTCTATGGGGAAGATGCAGCTGTCCTTCATGACCCCGTGGCAGTCGTTGTGGTACTGGGACAGAGCGGCTATCAGCCTCTGCAGCTGGAACACTATGTCCTGCACTGTGGATGTGGAGAAAGAGGGACCGCAACAGCTTTTACTCTGATACAGTCAAACCTGAATTCATTGAAGCCGGGCATAAACAGTCTCTCCGAAACGGTTGTAATGTTCCTGTTTGCAGCAACTGTAACGTTTTTCTTTTCAACTATGACCTAACTTGAGGCAAATGGTTTCTGTGGAGACCCCCAAAATGAGGGAACGGTTGCCTCCTTTCCCGTTTTTCACCCTTCCGCCACCTTACATGTCTCCACAGAACTCATTTGCATTACTTGTGTCTATGTGCTTCGAGTTATTGAAGAATTTGCCCTTGCGCTACCAATGATTACCTTCGTGGTTAGCTCAATCGGTACAGCGACAATCCCCCGGAAAAGCGTTGGCCCAGGGTTCGATCACCAAACTAGCACGAATTTTTCGGTGACAAACAAGCTTTTTTTTTTTTGAGAAATCTGTATGGATTTCCTTGTGGCTTCATGCCACAGACTGGTGGTTGTCTAATTTCCCTTTTTTATCAGCTAACTTGCTCAGAAAATGCTCTTACAATTATATTACACAAACTACCAAACCTGTGATCACTACTGTGGTTCTGGTGTAGGATCGTTTAAGCGTCTTTTTTTTTTTTTTCATAATGTTCCCTTGCCCTCTAAATGTCACTCGAGTGCAAGTTTTTAATCGTGCTAACGTTTGCCAACACCTCGAGGCAGGGCAAATGTAACAAAGCAGCTAGCACCGCGGGCGAATCCAAGACAGCAAGCAAATGTTATGAAAAAAAGACGTTTACGCAAACTTTACAAATCTTTTTAGAATCGGTGCATTTGCCTACCATGCTTCTGGTCAAGCAGCTCTAGCTTGACAAGCACGTCAGAGCGCAGCTTGGCAAAGCGCACGCGGGCGTCCTGACGGCAGCGTAGAATCAAGCGGTACTCGTAGTTGCCCGTCTCCACCCGGTAGAGTGGTTCCTGCAGCGCCTGGTAGGCGTACTCTTCGTCGTCCATCTCCTTGACCTTCAAGCAGTACGACTGTGAACAGTGCAATGAGGAGAAAGAAACGAATCAATGACTCCACACATCAACATCCCGTTCAGCTCAATTTAAGATTGGGCCAGTTAGAAATCCTTCTTCGATGAATGGCGCAGAAGCAGACAACAGACATAGAGAGAACAAACACAAGAGCTTACCTCACACTGGGGATTGACCAACCTGGTGGTTCTTTTTTTCTTAAAAGTAAAGCTCCTTAGGCCCACACCCTGCCGTCACTCTCAAAGCTCGTCATCGCATCATCACTCCCCACTTCACATTTCTAGAACCAAGTTAGCTTTGCAACTTGCAATAGATGCTTGCTCTCTGGAGTGGATGCGACAGCTAATGCAAGAACTAGCGAATCTGCAGTTCCATATTTCACCATACCTCACATGTTCACAAATCACGCTCACAGAGAAAGCGAACACAGAGAAATGCCCAACGTGTTCCAAGCGGCTACTCCTTGTGCGTCTCAGCTCGGTCTAGCATGAGCGTTGTCTTCACGTTCACGTGTCAGCCCCATGTGCCGCCTTGTGAGCGGAGCTGGGAAACTGAACTGCTTATAAAAACACTGCCCCGCCCTACTGCCATCATGAAAGCCAGCAGCGAAATCGGGCGCAAAGTCATTTGCGCCCTATTTCTAAAACGCTTCGCTTTCGTATTCACACGCAAAATAACTGCTATTTTTTCTTTCGGCACTTATGTATTGTCGCTATTGTTACATCCATCCGATAAGGGTTCTCTGCTTAACTTGTTAACAAATTTCCTGCGAACGTGCACGTGATGAGAGTGGGCTAATATATTAGTGTGTTTTCAATAAACCCTCAGCTGGAGGTTAGCATGTGCCCTTGTTCCCTTCTTTGTCTATTGTCTGCTCCTGAGCTGTTGAAGATTTGTTCAGCACTGAAACATGCTCATTAAAGAGGTAATGTTGCAGAACATTAGACTCGTATTCTGATATCGGGGGCAATAAGCTGACAACCAGACTGATGCATGCTCGAATTTTAGTGAGGTTGACTGATTCCCCCCAATGCTGCTGAATGCTGGCATCCTGGTTGGTTCCACTCGGCCAAGTGATCTCTACGGATAAGTGTTTTGTCCCAGTTTCCATCCCTGACTAGAACAGATTTTTTCTTAAACTAAAAAGCTTTGGTTTCTGAGAAATTTGTATGAGTCTTTCAGTATGTTTATGCTACAAGTCGGTGGTTGTCAATTTTCTTTTTCCCAATACCCTATAGCATGCCACTCTATGAAACACGACATAAGGCAGTAGGCTAGTAATAGGGAAGGGCTATAGGAGGCGATAACGAACTATGTTGTGACAATAAACCACTCCTCAATTATCATACTCCACCAGGAGATCCATTTATGCTTTCCTAAATATCTGGAACGTCATTGTGGGTAAACACTGTACACAAGACATAAGGTATTTTATAGGAGGTCAAATTGTGTCAGCCACTGACCAGGTATTCAAACTTCGCGTCTGCATACTTCTTGATGGTCAATTTGGTGTCCGGTACAGCCTTGTTCAGGTAGGTGTTCAGGTCACTCAGCATCTGTGAAAGAAGGAAAAATGGGTACGAGAATGATCAACAGAGCGATAATAATAACATGAATATGCTACAAGAAGAGGTTTGTGACATATGAAGTTTTCCCGAATTATGGGTGCATAGCATAGTGTTTAAGACACCGGCTCTCGGAATATGGGAGCACAAGTTCAAATCCAGCCCAGTCGAAAAAATTCATTTGGTTTATTCATTTATTTTCTGAAGACTTATTATAACGCACTAGTAGTTTCTCCACCACTCACTGGGGATTCTATTTTTATTGTTTCAAAGTACACTACTTCTCCTCAAGAGACACCCTAGTGTCACTTGGGAACTTAAGGTACAAAATTAAATAGGTGTGCCATTCACAGCTCTCACATAAAGCGTATTGTGAAATAGCCACTCTCCTAGTGTTATTAAATGGGCATCACACATGTTGCGGGGTCATGCTGGTTTGAACCACTAACGAACTGCAAGTTGTACTTTCTTCAGCTACCAATTTCTTTATTCTCCTAATGCTTCAATTCAAGGAGACAGTTCACTACATATGCCTCAGTGTCAGCTGTATTTCCATAGTTGACACCAAAGGCATTCATATTATTGCACTTTCTTAAAGAGGCCACTATGGATCGATTTCTCCCGAAACAAATCGTGACATCAACACAACTGTTGAAGTAGCACTCACGGGTCGCACAGTCTTGAGCAGTTTGATGCCGTACTTCTCAATGCTTCGGTGGGCCTCGCCAAAATGCGTGAAGGCTTCACTGGCTCTGGGCTGGGGCTCACGAACTCCGATCTCGGCAAAAACATCACCGAATGCTGCAAAAAGCCGACGAGGTGAACTTTAGACTGATCCACTGCTAGAGAAGATGAATGAAGGTTTTAAATACTAATACCGGTTATTAATCACACACTCGTGATTAATTCAGCGCGGGTTCAAGTTGACGGCCTAAAGAGGAGAGATACAGTAAGTGCAAAATTTTACATCAACAAGCCCAACACATTTTTAAGGGCGATACTGACTAAACTGCAGACTTAAAAGAACGCACATGTGTCACCACTGAGCACAACAGCCAACACCACAGCAAACGTAATTGTATTAAATGCAGAATTTAACTTTGTTAAACCCAATAAGGTCATGTAGAAAAGTGTTTACAAGCATCTGGACCCATATCGGCATGCTTGTACGGATCTATGCAAAAATTACATGCATAAACTTATAGCCAGGAAACCAATTTATACATCTGTTTAACAACATATCAGGTTGGCACACAGAAGGTAACTAAACACCTATTTAAGACATCCATTTGAGTCGATATGAGATCAGCATACGAAACAAAAAAGCACATTTAAATCTGTGCTCGATTACAGAACATGGCAGACCAACTACTATGTGAGAGCCTGCAATGTAGACGATGGCTAGCAAGCATGATATCTCAGCATCACTCACTGCGATAAACGTGGCACATGTCAAAGTAGGCCTTGAGCATGTTGTGGGTGTGCTCCATGAGGCCCTTGTAGATCTGCTCGTTCCTCGACAGCTCCTCCAGCTTCTTCACCAGGCTGTCTGCGTGAGCGCCGTGGAGACAATAGTTACATTGTTTGCTCTCGTTCATTTACACTATTACGGTCGATTCTATAACAGAAATGATCGATTCCCCTTTGTTCAGCATTTCCCTTTCTTCATTCATAAAAGCAGATTATGGACTTAAGCTTATTCGATACATTCCATGCTATATGTTGGTTTTTTTGTAACGCCTGTGGAAAAAAATGAACAGGTTTAGGCACATCTTATTGACTGCGCTCTTGTGGCTCGCACAAAGACTTCTTATACACTATCACATGGTCTCACTTTCGCAAAACAGAGGCTCACATTTTGTCAAACAGATGCTTTGAAAATATTACATGCCGTGCTGTTTTTTTTTTTTTTAATATCTGAGATTTTACGTCGCAAACCACGACATGACTGTGAGCGTCACTGTGGTGGAGGGCTCGGCAAACTTCAACCATCCGGTGCACTTACACGTGCAGTAATACCGCACAGTTCATGGGTTTTACCACTGTGCCTCCACTGAAATGCAACCGCTGCAGTCGGAATCGAAGCCCCGACCTTCAGAGTCAGCAGCCGAGCAACGTAACCACTGATCGAGCGCGGCGAACCATGTACTTTTTCAAAGTTCTCGCGCCGCGACAATAAAGTGCCCGATTTCAGCACAACAGCATGATAAAGTACAGCTAACAGCGGGTACTAAATTCAGCTGAAGAGCACGGTGGGTGTAGGTCATCCAAAGGTTGCACAAAAGGCTCGAAAATATTTCCTACCACATGCGCTTCCACATGCTAAGCGCAGGACATAATAGATTAGCATTTTTGTGTTTTCTTCCCATTAAAATGCAGTTGGCACAGCTGGCAATCGAACCCGCAACTTTCGGTTCATGCGTACAATGCCACAGCCAACAGACAACTGTTTCGCACAACATTATCAGCATCGCTCACTCACTATAAACTCTATCAAGCACCTGATCAGAACGCTACAACACAACAATAAAAATCCTCAGTAACAGATATGTCAAATACATGCTTCAATATGCTTGCCACATTGTATAAAATAAAGCCAAAATATAAGGACCGATGCACACTTGAGTTGATTCGAAAAAACATATCGTCACTAAGTTTACCAAGTGTGAACAACTGGAATGAGAAACTAGAATTAGTTCTATAAATTTTGCAAGATCAATGTGCTAAGTTATGAAGTACGCCAATCCTGCCGAAGAGGGCCAAAATGGGCTTTTAGCACAAGGCTAGGTGTTCATCGTATAAAGATGAGGGGCTCACAGAAACCGATGGTAACTGTGGTTCCAAGCAATGATTGAAGGAACTAAATCGAAAGTCTACTCATTCAGACTGGCCTATGAGTGATTCCAGATAAGTAAAACTTTGGAAAGTGTGAGTGCCAGTGAGGTTGGCTAAGTATAATTTCGATGACCAAGTTCGAGTAGTGTCAAATCAAAACCTATTTTTCGTCAGCGAGTCTGAGCGAATAGCCTTTATCTACTGTCCAAACTTACGCTTGTACCTAGCACATTTTCTATTAAAAATGAGAAATGGGCAACACCAGTCGTTGTCAGTATTTATATAGTATCTAAAAGAATTCAAGAATTTCGAGGTGCCCTGCATCACAAATACAGTACAAGCACTAGTGTTTATCGGCTCATTTATCTGCGATGAAACTTACACGTACCCAACCCGCCTCCCGTGTCTTTGCATATTAAAGAAGCATTCACTCGAGTAAAGGCTACACTGAGTATTGCTTTAAACCGTTCTTCCAGCAACTGCGTCAACGCCCGTTTCAGCTGGGCCAACAACGTGCGCACCATTGCTGCTTCACATCCCATCAGGGTTCCCTTCGAGAAGACAGTCCATACTTTATTTCTGAGCATCTTCGCCATACGACTTAATTAGGTTACAAAAAGGGTGAGGACAAATGCGTGCCCACAAGACACATGCCCACTAAACAATCTTTTGCAACTTCGTTCCATCATAGGACACTGATAGAAAAGTTGCCATTCCACATGATAGTTAAAAATGTAAAAAAAAGGCAGCTGTACACTCCAGCAATGTCAAATGCAGGCTTTATTGAAGCTCTGCACATATTATACGACCACTGCATTTCTCCAAGTGGAATGACATAGTATACTTTTGTTGGTGATTAGCATAACACAAATGGAGAGGCAAAATGTGATTCTACAGCTAAACATTCATTTTTTCTAGGTACTCACTTGGTTATAAAGGCCAGCTTTTATAAAAACACAAACAAGCCCTACCTTTATAATCATGTACTCTACATTTTTGTTTTCTGCTCCTTGTGTAACAAAGTTATTATTACTTAGTGGTTCCTCTATTATTCACTCACCATTGCAGAGGATGGCCCGACTCAGACCGAGAGCATCTGCCGTAGTAGAACTCATGTTCTCGACAATGCGGTGCTTGGCCTTTTTCAGCACTGCAATATCAACAAGAATATCGCTGCTTAGCTGGAGATGCAATCTCGAAATCTTTCATGTAAATACGCACAAATCAATAAATGATCGTTTCTCACAGTAACACTAAACAAAAATAATACACTCACAAAAAAGGACTGTTCAGTTTTTTCTCTAAACTAAGGTTAACTACTGGAGCAGAAGTCCAATTATGGCATTCATGCATTTCATATTTTTCTTAATGATGAGACAAAGAACTGCTCTTTTAGATTGAGAATGTAGGCGCGCCAATTCGTACATTTATCACCCTCGCTGTCGACTCACCTATGTCGAGCGTCTTGCCCTGCTTCGGGTCCGCGTGGAGCTTGTTATAGTTGATCGTCACTTCTTTCTGCTGCAATGAATGTGTGGGGGAGAGAAGGAGAGAGGAAGGAGAAAAGGAAACACCCCCCAAGGATGTGACCATAATACCCATCGGAGATGAAAATAAAGGTAAGAAAAAAGAAAAAAGAGGAGGAGCACGGAATGTAGGGCAAAGTAGGGCAGGTGGGGCACAAGACCAGTTTAATCATTGCAGAATACACATAATGTATTGCATCATCATCATCATGATCCATCAGAATACCATATTCTGTTTGACGCTTAGTGGACATCGATACCCAAGCATTGAAATCGTAGAAAACTTTCTGTGTGCTCAAACTGTGCTGCTTTTTATTCTGTGAACCACAAAACAGTATATCTTAACAAACAAACCAACAATCCGCAAATAATGTTGTCCTGCGCTGTGTATTTACTCACGCATTGGCCAGTATTGGGTAAGTGATAGCCGTTGGTAAATAACGATTGCCAACAACCCTGTCACTAGGCAAGCCCTTATTACTGCTGCCATATATTGGCAAAATAACAGCTAGGGTTCACCAAATGACGGTATGCATTGGCCAATGCCGATTAGACATGGCAAAATCAATGCTAGCGTTTGCTCAGCAAAGTCGAATGCCAGCAAACGTTGGCTAAATGATAGTAATCAAGAATAACATTAGCTAATACATATTGGCCAAGCAGAGTTACAAAAACTTTGTTGCAGTCAGGACACACTGGTGCTGTTTCATACATACAAAAAGTTGAGTTGGTTACGATAGAGTTTTCCAGAAAATGGCTTATACACATTTGCAATTAACAGAGAGATAGATCTAATGTTACATTTACAAACTGCAGTGTTTTTGTCATGAGCGCAGGCAGTAGTCATTTCTTGCCGTACGGAAGCAACTGCATTCAAATCTGCATGGCTGCATATCAAGACATTACGTCATATAATTTTTTTTATTATCTAGTGCACTGTTTCTTGGCTGCAAATGTAAGCAGGGAAGGAAGTCTGTCTGGAATAACAATGCTGCCTGACTAACATCGAAAGTCAATGTAGTGATAGCTCTGTGCAATTCTTAAAGAGAAGAAAAATAATAGGGGAAACAGGTCTGAATGTTGTGTGTCTACAGACATTTTCGGGAGTCATTCTGTGCTATGCCTTGCTGAGATGCATTGCCATCATACTAAATTCCTAGTGACAATAAAAAAATAATAAATTATGCAATTAGTTCCTACAAATAACAAAACCACGAATATAGCATGAAATGGTCATATAACCTTCAGAAGTTTTTTTTTTTTTTCAAACAAGCAGTTCATTGCGGAAAGCCAAAAAACGTATTGAAATTGCATGGGCATGCACATAAGTTTTCGTGCCTTCCTTTTAATTTTTCTGCCGTTGTGCCCCATTGCAGTTGCAAGTCTGTGTTCGTGCTGTCTTGACTTCATTCTTGCGTCCATGTTTGCACACCATGTCCTTTAATATGACTGCAGTGCACCTTGGTGGTTGTCTGAAGAAAGCGATGCCCCGGCTCATTTAAATTCACTCAAACCTCGATGGAACGAACCCATATGTAACAAACTATTGGTTATAATGAAGTAAGTGAAGTGTTAACGTTCATAACACATTTTTGTATATAAAGAAGTATTTTCATGGCAGATCTAAGTGCTACAATGAGGTTTGAGTGTACTACGATGTGTTAAATTAGTGCTAATGCAGTAGTACTGCAACTATTATTGGCAGCTTAAGTGTAACGATGCGAAGCAACGTACAGCAGTACTTGTATGATATACTACTGCAAGACATTTTAGCAACAGTGTTTCCAATGCCAAATTGTTTGAATTCATTACAGAACCATGTGTGACCCAGTATTGAATGCAATTCATAAGAATTTTATGTTGCACTCTTTGATACTGATGCAATGCAACAACTGCAAGAACAAGAATGCCACTCGGAGACGCTACACAAAACTGCAAAACACTCTCTTTAAAAACAAGACTCATGTATAAAGGAACTGAAGGACGATTTTCTGGTAGTTGACGGAAGAGCTCCTCTTTGTGATACAATTTTCTAAGCGGGCGCGTCGCCGCGTGCGTCCTTCGCTTGTGTCCACGACCGGCTCTCTCGGCACTTCTGTCTGACATGAGTGCCGTGACATGAGGACGAAAGTTCGGAATCGGTGAATGTGTGGGTGCGGAAGTGGCGGCTTCAGCGCGAGGAAATTTTCTCGTGCGACTCCAACGCCGGTGGCTTTCGCGGGCCGAAGTCTGGCCGCTTTCCGGAACTAGAGGCGAAGCTTGCGACCTACGTGAGTGTTTTTTTTTTTTTTTTTTTTTTGAGATGCGATTTTGGGGGGGTCGTCTTACATTCTAGTCGTCTTACAATCGTGTAAATACGGTAATTTTTTTTATTATCTGGTGCACTGTTTCTTGGCTGCAAATGCAAGCAGGGAAAGAAGTCTGTCTGGAATAACAATGCTGCCTGACTAACATCGAAAGTCAATGTAGTGATAGCTCTGTGCAATTCTTAAAGAGAACAAAAGTAATAGGGAAAACAGGTCGGAATGTTGTGTGTCTACAGACATTTTCGGGAATCATTCTGTGCTATGCCTTGCTGAGATGCATTGCCATCATACTAAATTCCTAGTGACAATAAAAAAATAATAAATTATGCAATTAGTTCCTACAAATAACAAAACCATGAATATAGCATGAAATGGTCATATAACCTTCAGAAGTTTTTTTTTTTTTTTTTTTCAAACAAGCAGTTCATTGCGGAAAGCCAAAAAACGTATTGAAATTGCATGGGCATGCACATAAGTTTTCGTGCCTTCGTTTTAATTTTTCTACCGTTGTGCCCCATTGCAGTTGCAAGTCTGTATTCGTGCTGTCTTGACTTCATTCTTGCGTCCATGTTTGCACAGCAGGTCCTTTAATATGACTGCAGTGCACCTTGGTGGTTGTCTGAAGAAAGCGATTCCCTGGCTCGTTTAAATTCACTCAAACCTCGATGGAACGAACCCATATGTAACAAACTATCGGTTATAATGAAGTAAGTGAAATATAGCTTTGTTGCACATACAGTGTTAACGTTCATAACGCATTTTTGTATATAAGGAAGTATTTTCATGGCAGATCTAAGTCCTACAATGAGGTTTGAGTGTACTACGATGTGTTGAATTAGTGCTAATGCAGTAGTACTGCAACTATTATTGGCAGCTTAAGTGTAACGATGCGAAGCCACCTACAGCAATACTTGTATGATATATTACTGCAAGACATTTTAGCAACAGTGTTTCCAATGCCAAATTGTTTGAATTCATTACAGAACCATGCGTGACCCAGTATTGAATGCAATTCATGAGAATTTTATGTTGCACTCTTTGGTCCTGATGCAATGCAACAACTGCAAGAACAAGAATGCCACTCGGAGACCCTACACAAAACTGCAAAGCACTCTCTTTAAAAACAAGACTCATGTATAAAGGAACTGAAGGACGATTTTCTACAATTCAGAAACAGCGAAGTGCTCTTCTAATTACCTAGATTAAACTTTCATAGTAATATCTCATACTTAAAATTTAGCAGTACTCTCCGACTAGCATGTACTATGATGCCATGTATTGCCGAGTGCGCAAAAGTGTTTAGACGAGTGGACAGACTTTGCCCGAAGAAACAATGCAATTAGACTGGTACATAATCTCAAGTTTTGAAGAGAGGTGAAGATATGCACTTTGTCGAACTGAGGTCTTTAGAGGCGCACTAAAGTGAAACATTTACTTGGTTTAGACTGATAAAATGTACTATGAGAACTGTAATGTCACAAATTTTACTATCATAAGTTCATTATTAGTGGAGAAGATCAAGATTAAACTTTCATTCTTAATTTCATGCCAAAACCTCTGATTGTGGCGTCATTAATTTTAGAAAATATTTTCGTATTTTCGCGACATAGGTTCAATGAAGTTTTCTGAAACTCGGTATGTACTTAAGGTCCATGGCACCGACAGATGACAATGTACATCATTTTTACCGGCTGGAAACTAAGTACTACCCAGTAGACGCCGTCAAAATTTATGACGTCACAGTTTTTGGTACGGGAATCTCAAGGTGGTGTCATTGCCCGCATTCTTTCGTCGCGCATTTTCTCCCTTACCAAGTGTCGGCTCGCAGTAAGAGTGATTTTTTGTACTTTACTAATACGTAAAAAAACATTATTCTCTTAAGTGCCTCTTTAAATGAACAAGCACAGCGTGCCATCCACCCAAAATGGTGCTGCTCTCAGCTTGCCTTGACACTCTGGATCATCTTGGCAACCTCGACCTTGGTCTTGCCCTTGACGGCAGTGCCGTTGACACCCACGATCTCGTCACCAGACTGCAACGTGCCATCCCGGGCAGCCGGCGTGTTGTCGAACACCTGCGCGCAGTAAGGGATATCAGGTGGGCCGATTTTTCCTCACCGACAAAACGTCTCATGAAAGAATATCTCGCTGTTGGACATGCTCAATCCCGCATTGCCTCATTGACAAGCGACAGGCCACTACTGAAGACAATGCAATAGAGCAGGGAGAAAGATGAATGCTGCTGAAGTTGCAGTTTCCTGAAGTGCTATATAAAAGTGAATGTGTGGATGCTGTCTGTCATAGCAACGCTCTTGATAGTGTGCTTTAAAGCCAGCAAACCCTCTCGGTTTTTTTTTTTTTTTTTTCGTTACTATCATAACTATGTGTTGCGTTCTTTCATTGTGAATTTCTCAATAAAAGCTTGTTGAGAGTGGACAAATTTGTGTATTTCTAGTTCGTTCTGAAATCATGAGTGCAGCGCTTACTTTAACATTCCGTCAGACATCTGCAACTTACAAAAGATCAGCAGATGTTCTCATAAATGTCTTTTTATTGATGTAAAAAAACCCGGCTGTAGCGTCTTGATTAGCAATAGCAGTGGAGAATGCCTCGTTCTTTTCCTGTCGCTCCGTAGAGTAAGCTCTTTGAGTAAACCTATCTCCACAGCTCCCACCTGGGAATGTATCTAAGCCACTTTCGATCACCTGGCGTGGGCCAGGAAAGCAGATGTCTCCGTGTCCGAACGTCCCGCTGAGGAACACCACAAGACCGCTGACCTCGACTCACCAGACACTTACTTGTCAAAGTCTACAATGTGAGCATAGATACTGCATCTCCAGCTAATGCCTTCAGTGCTCGTGTGTGCCCGCTGCAGTCTTCAAGCCTGCTGAATGGTGAAATGCAATTTGCTCCTGAACTGGTGAAGGTACTGTTAGCCATAGAGTTTCCTAATATACACTAGAAGGAACCCTGGCGCTAGTGTCTATGGGAGCTGCAACGCACGGGGCTTCAGAGAGTATGGGAATGATGGGTAGTACACACATTTGTCTGATCTTTATACTTCTGGCCTGCTTTTGGCTCCGCGTGTGCTTGTGTGGCTTGGAGCTGTTTTCTCACAAAACAAAAATCAGCAAACGTTCAGCGATTGCACTTCGCCACCTTATTCTTTTAGACTTGCCTTTCCAAATCGGGTCAGGAAGTTCAAAAGGGTTGAATCCTTCTTTCAAAACAAAACCGAAGCAAAGCAATAAACGAAGCCGTAAGTACGATTCGCTGCCCACAAGTACTAAGCCTAAGCAAATAAGTGTACTACCCATCATTTCCATGGTCGCTGAATGATCGCAGCGACAGAGTCCCCTCTAGTTAATTTTAAAAAACTCTGTGCTGTTAGCGTCTTTATATCTTCTCCTACTTCTGTGTGCTTTTTCTTTGGCATGCTTTGCTCCTTTTGCTGTCAAAAGCTATCTATCTTTCTGTTGCTTAAATATACCGAGTTGTTGGTTGTTCGTGGGTAAAATGGTCTCTCCTTTATGATGGTTACGTCTTTTTTCATGTAAACCTATACAATAGCTTGACTCATTAGCTTCATGACACAGGCATACCTGTGCAACAAATACCTATTTTATTTTGCCATTCTACGCTATAGGGTGAGCAGACCATGGGATCAAAAACGGATAAGAAATAGTTTTGCTATAGGTACATGAGGCGATCGCCGCTGCACACAACTGCTCACCTGCACGACGTACAGGCAGGGACATAGGGGGGCACCTCCCCCAATACTGATGCCGATGAGGTTGCTTTCGTCCTTCTGGATGACCACGCTGCCAGAGGTCACTGTCATGCCCCTGGGTTGCACAGTGCATAAATAAATAAGCCGGTGTACGACACTGTACATCCAGGCACCAACAACCATAAGACAGGCAGTAAACCTAGTTTTCCTCTTTGTTAGGTGTTGAATCCCATAAATGAAATGCAGCTCCCAGCAAGTAACTATGTGGCATGGGTGCTACCTAGATTGACTTCAAGGAATGGACTAATTAAGGGTGACAGATAGATCAAGAAGATAGAGTGGTTGGTCCACACTTCTTTTGACCCTCCGAGTTCCACTATGTGTTCATAGATAGGACATGATCATTTTAACATTCTACCTCCAACCTAAAGTTAATAGAACTAAGCATAGCTACACAAGGTCACATAAACTGAACTAAGAAATTTTTCAGAGTGACTATAACAAACACATGTTAAAAAGAGAAACCGTATGTTAACAGCGATAATTTACACACATTTGAAAAGCTGAGTGAGCAAAAATTTAACTGTCATTTCACTTGTGAAGGCACATGAGCAGACTCTCCTTCCGGAGTTGTTTAAGTGATGCGTGAGCGTATCCACTGTAAGTTATGGCCTTCCCTTGAAGGCTGTTTTAAGCAGCGTTGGCATAGGATCTTTCCTTTAGAAGTCATCAGAATTTTTGGCGATCACTAACAAGGTGCACAGTGAAATTTGCGTTTGGCATAGAATTTTCCCACAGCCAGAATTTTTCTGACATCTACAATGTCCAATTTCTCTGCTGTTTTTCAGAGGGCCAGCCTCTGGCACCCATAAAATCCACAAAACCTTAAAAAACATTTTTCTATACATTTGATTTGTACCATTAGTAGCGCATATTCATATACTTAGATTAGTAGATAGCAAAGTGATTAACACACTTGCTTTCGAAATGTAGAGCCCCAAGTTCAAATCCAGCTCTGCCCCAGAAGCAGATAAAAACTAAGAAACATGAAGCACAGAGAAAGAAAACGATGCTACAGGCTGGCACTTACAACTGATCCAAAAGCATTCTTCAAAACAAAACCTATACTTGCCGGCAACCACCTTTTGCATGCGTTAAGCAGCCATAACGAGCTATTGTGGTGTCTGTATAAAGCTTATCTCTAAAAAATTAACTTTCTAAACTTCGAATTTCAAAAGAGCACACAAATAGATGAGAAAGCCAGGATGCTTAAGATAAATAACATCATATACAGCTTCCCACATACAGCAGCACCAGGCGAAATTCAAGGCATTACCACAGCTTCCAAGCAGCCATCGTATCCATTAGCTGCTCCATATTGAACACTTTCGAGAGCCAATTTGGCAAGGCAATCTTCTAACCGAGGAGTTTCAATCTACTGATATGCCCGAGTGCTTGAGGTTTATTTTTTTTTTAAACATGCGAGCCATTAGACTCTTCCAAGCAGCTGCGAAATTGCACCCACAGCTGTTGTAGTTGTCGTATACAAAGAGCACTTCAGCTATATGAAATAATAACTCCGCAGCAATACACTCCAAGATATGGCACGTTCTGATATGAGCGGCTTTATATTTAAGTACTCTATGTGAATATCTTTCAAAGTTGTACAGATTTTAAGGCACGAGCATAGCTAAGTGTCATCAAGAATGGGACACAGGGGTTCAGCCAGATTTTTCACACCCGAAACACAGAAATGTAATTAATTGAAAAAAACTGGCCACCGAGGTCATTGAGAAAATACATAAGTAAGATGTGAATTATCACGAGTTACCACATGATTGACTACAGTGATGATGTTTCGATTAAAATTTCAGAATTCAATGTTTTCATATTTAGGAGTAAGCTAGGAGGAAAAAATAATGTTGCGGCAGATTTTGCATAGAGGATTTTCTGTGTACCCATAAAAAAACGTTCTTTTGTACAATAAAGGATGAAAGGTCTTCTGTTGACACTTAAGACCTGTTCACTTTCTACCTCAACTGTCGGAAAGCAGGAGGTCATAGGCTTGCAATTGGCTTTCAGCTTTATCTTAGCCAACAGGGAAAATTTATAGAAATTTTTTAGAAATTGTTTTCCTCAAAAATGATGGATATCATGAAACAGCTTCAATATTTAATTCCTTGCACTGAGTTTAACATCATTATATCCTGGTTGAATTAGCAGTGTTATCAAGCATTCGTCCAAGCATCTGATATCACTTTTCAAATAGCGTAGTATGACTTCGAAGGCTCTGAACTGCGACAAATTTTTTCGCTTTTCTCTGAAACATTTTGACAGAACACCTGAGGAGTGCAGTGAAGCATGTGCTCATTAAATGTCAGCTACTGGCACCTTATGACACATATCAATATCGCACTCGTATTTCCTACAAATAAAATAAACTGTTTTCTTTTGCACCGGTTTTAGTTCGTTACTGTCAGAATGCCTACATGGGCTCAATGCAACACAATCATATTCAAAGATCGGTCCAATGAGGGTTCTGTATGTTATAAAGACAGCGTTTTGAGGAGTGAGATGTAGGTGAGACGTAACTATTTCGCTTTTCTTAGGGCCTTGTTACAGATGACATCCAGATTTTTGAACACAAGGTGCAAGGACAGAACCAAGAAATAGCTCCTTATTTTTTATGCCTACACGTATGGCAGTCAATGCTTTGTTTTATTTGTTTTAACAGGCTTAAATTTTGCCATATGCTGTGTGTTTGACAGCAGAGACGCGGTATGAATAATGAAGTAAACAAGTAGCCTTGATGAATCCCCGTGCTCTAGTTTTTGGACCATAATAAAGACAGGAAAGTAGAATGCACAAATAGCACTAGGTTACATGAAACAAGGGCGATCATCAGACATAGGCAACAATTAACTCATGCAAGACTTCGTAGAAACTTACTATATGTAAGAAAGTGTGAGGGAAAGTGAGGAAGGCCATTCACAAGCTGAGCCATCCCTGTGAAACTTCACTTGAACGACCTAAAACGAACCTCAGAGAATATTTTTCAAGTAAAAGTTCACCGAAATTAAATATGATTACAGTGTGCTCTCGCAAATTGAAGGAAACATCAGGTGTTCAACTGAATTTCAACCAGTTTATTTGTCATGCTTCTCATTTGCATCCATATTTATTCTTATTTAGGATCTCATCAAAAACTAACTAACCTTTTAATGAAATGGTGTACTTAAGACTGTGGTGGTCAGTCACTGTCACGAGCTCAGCTCTTCACCGTAGTCGTCTTCTAGGTGCTCCGACTAGATACTGTTTCTCCCCTCTTCCCCACTACATTTGCCCCGGTGGTGAAGAGGAGCCATCCTGGCGACTCACGGCGAAGCAAGCAAAAGGGGATCATAGTAAGGTTTTAAGCGGCTGATGTCAACTGTTTCACAACCACAGCATCGTCTGTCATCGGCAGGTGTCACTGGTTCGACAACGTAGTTGACCGGTGATGTGCATTGAACCATGTGATACGGACCACTGTACTTGGGTGCAAACTTTCAGGAGAGGCCGAGGGACTGGAATGGAACCAAAAGCCATACAAATGAGCCTATGGGGAAGCTGTGAGCAGGCTTGTCTTGACCAGGTCAAGTCATTCTTTTTGGAGACCTTGTGCGACGGACGTAAATGAACGCGCTAATTGGCAGCACTCTTCGGCACACTGAACAAGATCGGAGGCTGGGCGGTATTCTGAAGCACCTGAGTGGTAAGTAAGTATCGTGTCAAGCGTAGAAGAGGGCTCACGTCCGTACAGTAGAAAAAAAGGTGAAAACTTAGTAGTTGCTTGCGTGGCCGTATTATACGCATACGCCGCGAAAGGAAGCACCAAGTCCCAATTAGAATAGTGGGAGGGTATGTACATAGAGAGCATATCACCGAGCGTGCGGTTAAAACGCTCCGTCAAACCGTTTGTCTGTGGGTCATAGCTTGTAGTGGTGCAATGAAAAAAATTGCACTCACTGAGAAGTTCTTGGATGACTTGCGATAAATACGCACGCCCACGGTCGCTAAGCAGCTCACGTGGCGTGCCATGGCGAAGGACAAAGCCACGCAAAATAAACAAGGCGACATCATGAGCAGCAGCGGGTGGCAAAGCGGCGGTTTCAGCGTAACGGGTTAGATTGTCAACGGCCACAATAATGCAGCGATTTCCAGCAGAAGTACAAGGTAGTGGGCCATAGAGATCGATGCCGATTCTATCAAACGGCCGAGCTGGACACGGCAATGGTTGTAATTCGCCAGAGGCATGACAGGTTGTTTTTCGTCGCTGACACTCAGTGCAGGAGCGTATGTACTTGCGAACGTACGAGTAGATTCCACACTAGAAAAATCGCTGGCAAAGCCAGTTGTATGTTTTCAAAGCGCCAGCGTGCGCGTTTTCAGGGTCTGCATGGAAGTACGCGCAGATGTTGGAGCGCAAATGGCGAGGTATAACAAGAAGCCATTTCCTACCATCCGGCTGATAGTTGCGACGGTACAACATGGCATCCCGTATTGCATAATGGGGAATTTGCCGACGTAGTGCACAAGGTAGACGCTTGCGTAGAGTCCCTGAAGACGAGGAGAGAACGTCGATGAGCGAGGCTATCCAAGGGTCCTTGCGTTGTTCCGAAGGCATGTCAGCGGTATCGATGCTGCCGATCGTAGCTTCGGCGAAGGAAACAGGTGCAACGGCTGAAGGAAGGGGCAAACAAGAAAGAGCATCTGCGTCGGTGTGCTTGCGGCCTGAGCGGTAAATGACGTGAACATCAAATACCTGTAAACGTAGCGCCCAACGTCCAAGCCGGCCCGAAAGATCCTTCCATGAAGCGAGCCAACAGAGTGAATGATGATCTGTATCTACATCAAATGGGCGTCCATATAAGTAAGGACGAAATTTTTGTAATGTCCAAACAATGGCCAAACATTCATTTTCGGAAACCAAGTATTTGTGCTCTGCCTTGGTTAGGGTGCGACTGGCATATGCAACTGCATACTCCGAGAAGCCAGGCTTGCGTTGAGCAAGGACAGCGCCCAGTCCTATGCCACTGGCATCCGTGTGCACCTCGGTTGGAGCAGTAGGGTTGA